TAATATATAATAAATAAATAATAATAATATATATATATATATATATATATATATATATATATGTGACAGCATTTGACAGTGTGATCGACAGCGCGTGAGTGTATGTGACAGCAAGTGACGGTGTGATCGACAGTGTGTGACAGCGCGTGACAGTTTGTGACAATGAACGCACCCCCGGTGTCAGTGAATCTATCCGGCGTCTGCTCCGTCACGTCGTCGCTCGGCGTTGCCGTGGACGACGACTGCAACAACGGCGTCACGTCTTCCTGGCTCGCTCCGCCGCCGCCGCTACGGCTGCGACGGCGGCGCCGCCTGCCGCTGCCGGGGCGCGAGCCGCCCGACAGAGGCCTGGTGGCGTCCCCTCCCACCGCGCACATCTTCGCACTAATGACCTGTAACGAAGGCAAGGTAAATATGCCGTCAGGTGGCGCCCTCATTGTCTCCCGGACGCTGTTGTCAGACACAAAATTAGTCTTAATATTAACATTAAGATTAGTCTTAAGTTTAGTCTTAACGATAGTCCTAACATTAGTCTTAACATTAGTCCTAACATTAGTCTTAACATTAGTCTTAACATTAGTCCTAACATTAGTCCTAACATTAGTCTTAACATTAGTCTTAACATTAGTCTTAACTTTAGTCTTAACATTAGTCTTAACATTAGTCCTAACATTAGTCCTAACATTAGTCTTAACATTAGTCTTAACTTAGTCTNAGAGAGAGAGAGAGAGAGAGAGAGAGAGAGAGAGAGAGAGAGAGAGAGAGAGAGAGAGCAGGAGGGGGAATCCAGGAACAGGACCGGGGGACGCGGGGGCGGTAGGGAGAGGGGCAGATCGAAGGTTCTAACCTGGTTCAACTCCCTGTGCCATTCCTCACTAATGACAACCGGTGCAGACGACGACGACGGCGACGAGTCGTTACGCACGCTCGCAGCGTTGCCCGCGGCGACGGGCCGCGGCGCCGACGGTGGCGCCCCCTTCAGCCTGGCCTCCTTCTGGGAGATGAGCTCGTGGAGGTCGCGATACCAGTCGTCGTCGTTGACAACGTCGTCTGCAACGCACATTCCAAACAATTCTTATCTTTTTATTTATTTATTTAAAAAATAATAATTTTCTTGCATCCCTGCTTATGTTTAGTTATTATAGTTTGTTTGTTTGTTTGTTTATTTGTTTGTTTAGATTAGCAGGGCCGTCGCTGGCGTTTCCCACTTTCGTGAAATACAAATAAATAAATGACAGTGGCGATCTTACTAGCTGGCGAATAAAATCCTGCGATGATTTGCCGTTGACGACATCGTCTAAGACACGCGAGCGTGCAGGTTCAAACATTTTTTTAACGATCTCCGCGCATCTCTGCTTAGAGTTGTACTAACAACACTAGCAGTATTGTAAAACTTGCAGGATCTGTTCTAAGAACCTTTCGCTTTCAAAAAGGTTCAGAATTGAATCGTTCGGGTTATAACACTGACGCGCGTCGAGCTTTCGATACTTTTCGATACCTTTCGATACCTTTCGATACCTTTTGACACGCTCCTGCTTGTAGTTGTACTAACGCTACTAACAGTAAACTTGCAGAATCTGTTCTAAGAACCTTCAGATTTGAAAATGGTTCAGAAATCAAATCTTTCAGATCTATCTTGGTTAATTTTTACTCAACCGTGTTGATTCAAAACGTACTGCTGACGCTTCGCCTCCTATCAGGAGGCTTTCTCAAAGCTAACTGAAGTTATCAGTTTTGACCACCAGATGGTGTAGTGGTCAACAGCTTGGTCCACACGGGGGTGTCTATATTCAAGCCGGTACGAGAGATCATAATATAATATATATGTTAAATAGAATCATATATGATTTGAATTTGGGCCAGATATGGCAGCGCTTCCTCTCCTTGTTATATTTAGCTCTTTGGTACCATAGCAGTGTCGTCCTATTGACGAAGTCTGCCTATTACAGACTCGGCCCATAATATAATATATATGTTAAATAGAATCATATACGATTTAAATTCAAATAAATACTATATAGCAATAACGTTCTGCCATATAACGTGTTGCCGCCATATCTGGCCCAAGTTTAAATCATAATTATATGATTCTATTTAACATATATATTATATTATGATCTCCCGTACCGGCTTGAATATAGACACCCCCGGTCCACACGTGACTGAGTAACAACGTGACACGTGAGAAATCTTTCAGGTTTTAAAACCGACGTGTCGAGCTTAGGCCTAAAAAAAGACATTTGTTTCCGCTAACCCGACCGAGTCCATTTTAAACCGCCGTGTGGAAACTTTTTATCGTCACCGGCAAAAAAAATATTAAAAAAAACAAAAAAATCCTGTGATATCGATCGGTGAATGCATTGATTTGACTTTGAAGTCATTATATGGGCTGTTATAAGTATAAAACAAGTATTCGTAGAATACAAAAAAAAAGAAGAAGTTTTGCCTGCCTACCGTCTCCAATTTTTTTCAGCTCGTTAGCAGAAACAAACTTGTTTTTTTAGGCCTTACGATACCTTTCAGCGTTTTGTCCGTCCGCTCGCCGCTGTCCGACGCGCTGCTCTTTCTGCCGTGTGACGATTGATGCTTGGCCGTGAGATCCTTCCCCTGCCTCTGCTGCTGCTGCTGCTGCTGCTGCTGCTGCTGTTGTTTGCTATCCAGCTGAGTGGAGTTTCGACGCTGCTGCTGCTGCTGCTGCTGCTGCTGCTGCTGTTGTTTGCTATCTAGCTGAGTGGAGTTTCGACGCTGCTGCTGCTGCTGCTGCTGTTGTTTGCTATCTAGCTGAGTGGAGTTTCGACGCTGCTGCTGCTGCTGCGGTTGCTTGTTTGCTATCTAGCTGAGTGGAGTTTCGACGCTGCTGCTGCTGCTGCTGCTGTTGTTTGCTATCTAGCTGAGTGGAGTTTCGACGCTGCTGCTGCTGCTGCTGCTGTTGTTTGCTATCTAGCTGAGTGGAGTTTCGACGCTGCTGCTGCTGCTGCTGCTGTTGTTTGCTATCTAGCTGAGTGGAGTTTCGACGCTGCTGCTGCTGCTGCT